TCTGTGCACCTCCCACCTCGTGCTCTGTGCACCCCCGCCTCGTGCTCTGTGCACCTCCCGCCTCGTGCTCTGTGCACCTCCCACCTCGTGCTCTGCACACCCTGCCTCATGCTCTGTGCATCTCCCGCCTCACGCTCTGCACCTCTACCTCATGTCTGTGTACACTTGTGCCTCGTGCTGTCTGTTGTTGATCATGTTTGGATGAGACTTTGTGCAATGATTTTTGGCCTGGCCATGGCTTTTTGTTTTTTTCTGGGGGTTATCTTTGTAGGAAATTGACATCAGAGTTGTGACAAATTTTGAAACCTAATTGAGCATCTTTTAACCTGTTCTATGGTTCCAGCCTCATTTGTATGATGTCAGGATTATGACTTGTTGGGGAAGTTGGCAGACTCACCCACAGACCATCCAGGCCTGCAGCCCTTTGGGGAATAATCATTTTATAACTTCTAGATTTTCCTTGTGTATTGGTTCATTTAGGTTTTCTACTTCTTATTGAGTCACTTGAAAGTAATTTTCCAGGAGATATCTCCTTTTATTGAAACTTTAATTAATACACAATTGTACATAATATTCTTTTTTTTTTTTTTTTTTTTTGAGATGGAGTCTCGCTCTGTCGCCCAGGCTGGAGTGCAGTGGCCGGATCTTGGCTCACTGCAAGCTCTGCCTCCTGGGTTTATGCCATTCTCCTGCCTCAGCCTCCTGAGTAGCTGGGACTACAGGCGCCCACCACCTCGCCTGGCTAGTTTTTTGCATTTTTTAGTAGAGACGGGGTTTTACCACGTTAGCCAGGATGGTCTCGATCTCCTGACCTCGTGATCCGCCAGTCTCGGCCTCCCAAAGTGCTGGGATTACAGGCTTGAGCCACCGCGCCCGGCAAATTGTGTGATTTTTAAAGACTTGTTCTGCAGCCTTACATATGGTCTATCCTTGAGAATGATCCATGTGCTTACAAGAAGCATGTGTATTCTGCACCTGTTGGATGAAATGTTCTGTATTATGTTCATTTGGTCTATAGTATCGATTAAGTCTGATATTCCTTTGATTTTCTGTCTTAAAGATCTGCCAAGGGTGAAAATGGGTCTTGAAGTCTCCAGTTACTACTGTATTGGGGTCTGTCTCTCACTTTAGCTCTGGTAATATTTGCTTTACATATCTGGGTGCTCCAGTGTTGGGTGCATATATATTTACAACTGTTACATCCGCTTGTTGAACTGACCCCCTAATCATTATACAATGACCTTCTTTGTCTCTTTTTATAGTTTTTGTCTTGAAATCCGCTTTGATGAAGTATGGCTACTCCTGCTCTTTTTTGATTCTCATTTGCATGGAATATCTTTTTCTATCCCTTTATTTTCAGTCTATGTGTGTCTTTATAGGCAAAGTGTGTTTCCTGTAGGCAATAGATGGTTGGGTCTTTTTTTTTTTTTTTTTTTAATCCATTCAGCCACTCCTCCGTCTTTTGATTGGAGAGTTTAGTCTATTTACATTCAAAGTTTCTTGTTTTTTTTTTTTTTTTTGCCCCCAGACAGAGTCTTGCTCTCTCGCCCAGGCTGGAGTGCAGTGGCGCGATATCAGCTCACTGCAAGCTCCGCCTCCCGGGTTCACACCATTCT